TATATATATATATATCACGCAACTCATACACATACCGTTGGCTTCCTAAAGTCTGCATGGAACCCCGCACTGATGAGCTTGCCTGTGCTCAGCTTCACACCCAGTGCACTCCGCATGCCTACGGTGGATGGGTATGCATCTCTAATATTGTATGCATTGTCTTTCACCCACTTTCTTAATGAACCCGAACGGTCACTGTAATCCGTGGGACCACTGGTGTACTGCTCTATGAGGCGTAGGAGTGACAAGTAGTACTTGGGTAGTAGCGAAAAGGTAGGGTGCGCACAGGCGTGATGAAGATGGTCAGCTATGTATAACGTATACGTAAAGAAATGATAGAAGAATTGGATCAATGCAGAAAGAGAAGAATTGGATCAATGCCGAAAACCCCCTAAGGCTGATCTTGAACCCGAACGATTAGCGTAGTCGGTAGAACAACAGGTGTACTGCTCTGTGAGAAGTAGTCGGTGGTACAGGAGCGTTTGCTAAGCATCAATCAGAACACGCTATGGCCGGGCAGCAAGACATATACATCCCACCGGAAGTGTCTATTTAGAACAAAACTATTGACACAAGTGTCAACAAGTATAGCAGCAAGACATGATACATACCACCGGAAGTGTCTATTTAAAACATAGCCACAACACAAGTGACAACAAATATAGACGTAGACGCCCAATAACTAAACTCCATCCCGTACCACGTGGTATGCTGTTGGTCCGTGTTACTGGCGTGACTACATATATGAATGTGTGCGTGTTATTGCCAATAAACATACATACAACCGTTGCGTTTCACACCCACCTTGTCCCTTTTCAGTCGGAATCGGACCAGACTTTTTAGCCTGGGCCTTCTTTTTGGCCTTACTCGTAGACCCCTGCCGTGGATTGGCCCTATTTTCTTGTCCTTTTCTCTCTTCTTGTGCCATTTCTTTCAGTATGAGATCAATCATATTGTCGTTTTTGCCCTTGCCGAATTGCTCCGTGATTTTCTTCTCGAACGCCTTGCTCCTGTGTTCCGTTTTGGGGGAGAGGGTGGATTTGAAAATGTTTATAGCACCAACCGTACACTCGAACATTCTGGCTATTCCCGTGTCACACACATCCGACGAAGAATGCGCAACACAGTTAAAATACAGAGCCAGTGGGTGAAAGTACCTGAAGTAGGTGCAACAAACTCAATGGACACAACTGATTGGACAGGGTGTCAAGCCTGAAGATTAGGCCGGGAGACGATGGTGACAGGTTGGCAACGAACGATCACACTACCATTTGTTACCCTACCGATTGTTACCTTGTGGTGCAATGCAGTTGAGTGCTGAGGTGTACATCTAAGGAGTATTGGGCAGAGGAGATTCCAACCGGAGTGGCTTGAATATCATACCCAGTACTATGCTACATAGTAAGGCATCTGCTACTGCCGCTCACATGATCTGATTCACATAAGCAAGACATTAAATCGCAACTTGATAGACTTTTCTTACATGTATATGTGGATAAGTACATACCTAGCCACTTTCTACTACACATGTATGCATATGCTCACCGTACTACGTGGATACCGAGTCGCTTGTGCGGTCAGTCGGGATATTTGGGATACTCTTAAGCCCAACATCTCCAGCGGATAGTCAATACAGTAGACCCATGCGATGCGACAGTCTCCGCAACATACACATAAACCAATCAATGACAATAACAAAGCTATGATCAGCAGACTTTGACCTATCCCCCACTGTGTACGCACATACACACACACTCACCTTCCTACGTAGTCGTTGCCCGCATGAGCCGCTAATTGAGACATTTGGTCTTCTCTCAGGCCCAGCACTTGCAGCACACGGTCCCTATAATAGGCCTCTACTATGATTTGCCCTCTATTTGTATGTCGTTCAGTGCTCAGGTCGAGATATAATGTTATTGGCATCACAAAGAAATCGCTATCAGCGCCCAATAGTCCAAAACAGCTGCAAGCCAGGAAGGGACGTAGATGTGCGTAACAGGAATGAGAAACGAACAGATCACAACGAATCAATTTGGAATCCATCATAAACTTACTTACTTACATATATATATATATATATTATAATTGTTGACATAAGGGTCAAAGGAGTGTGGAATATGTGCGATATGGGACTCATTAATCCGAGACAATTCATTTCGGAACTCACAGCATGCTACAGAATCGCCGACTAGAATTGGCGGATGGTTTTACCTAGACTAAAAATTATGTGCACGCGCTGATTTGTGCGCCAACAGATTTATAACGCAACTCGCCACATAGTCAAAACGAGTTCAAAGGGTGGAGAGAGCCTAGATGGGCCGAGGGATTGCTATATAGCCTATACATTTGTATATATATATATATATATATATTGTATATATACTATACTATATGTCTAGTACAGGGTGGAGTTAGGCCAGGCTAAAATAAATATATCAAACGCTCCTTGTACGCCTTCGTAAGCGACCCAGTGAAGGTGAAGGACACCGTCACAGCCTAGCACTGCCCAAAAGTGGTTCAAGACATAAATGCACATAACTAAGATCGCACTAAGCACAATCTTGTACACACACACACACATGGTACTGATATATCCACAGGCCGATCACCTAAACCTACTGACCCGTGATGTAGATAGAAGGCAGCCATTTCCTTGTCGGCTTCATACTTGCAGTATATAACTCTGCATCCAGCAGCTGCAAATATGTATGCAAAATGCAAACCACATTTTATCAATTCATATATATTGATATATAAATATATATGTATGTACATATATATATATATATATATACATACATACATATATATATATATATACGTATACACATACACACGCACACACACAC